CCAAAGGGACTAACTTATACCTTTTGCATTCTTTTTATACAATATTAGGTTAATTTTTGGTCATTATATCAGGTCAGACAATCCTCTATTCCACAGAGGATTGTCTGATTGGCCTTGAACGGATCGTCACTAATTTGAACAATACATGCAGAGCAAGTAAACACTTACAGAGTAACAACTTATTATGTTCATAACTCACGTGGGAGTCGTATCGATAAATCGATATCGGCCTTTCACAAGTTTGCTTTGAAGGGGTGATTAGGGCACTTATTGCTTTGCGAGGGGGTCGTGGGGGGTGTGATAGCGTAATCGCAGTTTTCTATCGCGCCGTTGCCTGGGTGATCGATATTACATGCGTTGTATCAGATGCGGATTGGCGAAGGGTGATACGAAGTAGGGTTGCCTCTACATCGGTGAACAGCAGCTGCGGACGGCTTGGTAACGCTTCGGATTTGTAGGGTTGGTAACGCGTTCGCCTCATAAACGAATAGTCGTTAACATTTAGTTATTATTACGATGTTCACAGAGTCGTGATAGCTCAGTGGGAAGGCGTTGGCTAATAATTCAATATACTCGAGCAGCTAGATTTCAAATCTAGGTGCAGGTTAAAGAACGATATTTGTTAAATAATTAAGTCAACAGAATAATGCAATTTAAAACTCAAGCAATAGGAATGCTGAAAAATGTTAATAATTTTTACTTAGTCAACATTATGCCCAATACTGAGTGAGGTTTGTCGATGCTTTTTAATTTGTTTAACAGTTCTCACTTTAAATGGACCAATCATACATGAGATGAGACAAATAAATAAAATCAAGGGTAACGCACGATAACGTGCCCGTTCTGAATGACATAAATTAATGTACTCTTAGTCTACATTTAACAAACGCTCAGATTTTTATGTTCAAACCACAAACTTCCTAGGAAATATAGGAATGCGTAATCACAAAAACGAATATATTCTACAAAGAGACGTGTCAGAGAACACATACAAAAATACAACGCGAACGCAATCCTCCAATTTTTCTCATCCAATACAGTATGTTCAGGAAGAATGTAAACAAAAATTGACCCTCTAAATGCGACAAACGACTGACATACCCCGCAGTAGCCGAACATGTGGAGGAAGTGAACTAACAAACACAAAGTTTACAAGAGCGCGGCACGAGCCTTGCGCTACACGCGTTGAAGTTTTTCAACACACCGATTGCGCTGGCGAGCGAGTCGGGTCATTTGGAAACGATCTGGTACGAGTTTCAGATTGGACAAGATTTGGTACACGTTAGGAGCTGGACTAGTTTGGTTTCGGACCGATTTCCATGTCAGCCGTTGCAGGGCCTCTACGTGTGTTCGTGATTTGAAACAAACTCGTAGTGTTTAGCTAAAAAAAAGTTCTAGTGAAGCGCTGCTATTCGATACGAGCCACAGGGATGTAATGTGTAAGCTTTTAAAACTGGTTTAATTTTAATTACATAATGTAAAAATTCAAACCAATTTCTCATGTTATAAGAAACATTAAAACATCGTGAATATTTACTGAAATTGAAGATCTACGAAAGCGTGGTCACAAACGTGGTCGAAAAACTAAAAAAACGCGTGGTCTCAGAAACGCACTGTGTAGTTCTTTTTTTTTTAATTCAAAACTGGCCTGCACTTGACTGCCACCCTATCTTTATTTTGGAAACAATTTAAAATTGTTCAGAACCATCCAAAGTGACACTCGAGTACACGAAAGTTCATTGCTTTGCAAAACACGCCGACGCAGAGTCGCTTGGTTGCTACCGCATGACACATGACATGACATACATGACAGCATGGCATGGCATCCTCCTTCAGGAAGCCAACGATTACGTCATTAGCGTGACATCATCTTCCGTGACTTGAGACTTTTCCAAGCTATCTTATCAACTGATCTATAAATAAGGGATCATTTAAGACAAGTCGGAGTTGCTAAAGATGACAACATTTGTCCTATATTATAAATGCTCTGCCTATTGATTCTTGATCATCGTTCAAATTAAATATAAACTTTTCTTAAAGTACTTCTTTAATGTATCACGAAATTGTTCATGGATTAAAACTATGTAAGTGATTTTCTTTTGCTAAAGGTTTATTGTATGTCTATTAACTAATATGAACATAACACTAACATTATGATGTGATGAATTAATGTAAGACGAAAGCTTTGGTTTTTTAAAAACTGAAAATAAAATACCTAAATAAGAATTGTTTGTTTATTTTAATTATGCCTTTCTTATCTCTACCTTAGCTCATTCGCGATTTAAATTTCTTCTAAAACATACAAAAAAGATATTTTGAATAGAATCTATTTCTTTTAAAGATTTACATCACGAGTGGAGTTATGTTTTAGTGTACGAAAACTCCCAGATACGGAGCAATCCTCCTTCAGGAAGCCAACGATGCCCAATGTCTTCTACCGAGTGAGACTCGAAACTATCTATAAACTGATCGAAAATAAGGGTCATTTAAAAAGTCGGAATTCTACCAAAGAGAACGAGAAAATTTGTCCTATATTATAAATGCTCTGCCTATTGATTCTTGATCATCGTTCAAATTAAATATGAACTTTTCTTAAAGTACTTCTTTAATTTATCACGAAATTGTTCATGAATTAAAACTATGTAAGTGATTTTCTTTTGCTAAAGGTTTATTGTATGTCTATTAACTAATATGAACATAACACTAACATTATGATGTGATGAATTAATGTAAGAAACTTTGGTTTAAAATTAAAATAAATACCTAAATAAGAATTGTTTGTTTATTTTAATTATGCCTTTCTTATCTCTACCTTAGCTCATTCGCGATTTAAATTTCTTCTAAAACATACGAAAAAGATATTTTGAATAGAATCTATTTCTTTTAAAGATTTACACCACGAGTGGAGTTATGTTTTAGTGTATTTCATACAGCTGTTTTTCATACCCCCAGATACGGAGCAATTAGTTTTAGGCCATCCAAATGTCTTTACCGAGTGAGAATCGAAACGCTGATCTGCTACGCCGGAGACTATGAAAATGAAGTAAGACTACATTACGTCTTTGATTTATTTTTTTTGAAATTGTGAGCCGTATGTTTTTTTTTATGTGGCAAAGGAGCTGGCAGTTCACCTGACATTAAGTGATAACCGCCGCCCATGGACATTTGTAACATCCGTAAGTTTGCAGATGCATTGTCAACCTTTAATAAAGTGGGCCCCGGCTACCTCACTCATTGTGTCTTCTGTCAGGTCGTGGTACTAATCCGGACGAACCTGCCCATTCGTGGACCAGCGTGTCTGTTAGGCCCTGTTGAGTGGTCCCTACCACAGTTACAGCCGGGATGGTCAAATGCAAAGCTAAGCTTCGCAAAACAATAGTGTAATTTTAATAAAGTCTGTCATGCTTGGTTTTCAATTGATGTATTTTTTATGCTTATTAAAAATAAGAATTTGCATACGTAAAACTAAAGTTTCCAATTTTGTCTACATATAAAAATAAAAATAAAGCCACGTGAAATATGTATTGCTTTTTTGGAGTTCTCCTATGTTTTTAACATTGGAAGTTGGAAGATGATAGAAAACAATCTGTAGTTTACCAAGGTTTCTGTTTCTACTATGTGTTTTGAATCACTTGTGAAGCCATGGACACGCATATGAGAGTCCATGTTGAGAATTATTCCTGATCTAGTTTTACTCAGAATGCCAGAGCATGGGAACTTTTTATATTCATGTGTACTATTATAGTCCAAACACTTTGGTAAGGTAAAAATTCAGATCAGACAAACATTTAAAAAAATATATTGATTTTCGAAAACATGAAGCAAGTTAACGGTTGTACAAGAAACATACTGAGAATGTAGTGGTATCTCATCGCTACATAGTATAAAACAAAGTTTTCCCGCTCTCTGTCTGTCCCTATGCTTAGATCTTAACACGGAAACTACGCAATGGATCTTTCAGTTTTTTTTTACTAGATAGAGTGATTTAAGAGGCCGGTTTATATTTATAATATATAAACCTTCCTCTACTGCCAGGGCGGGTCGCTAGTATATAATAAAATTTTGTTTTAAGAGTAATGAAAGACGCAGAGTGCAATTGATATGTTCAGGCTCATTCGTTTTTTAATAAGGTTTACGGCCCTTAATCTAAGTTGGTAAGGTTTATTTATACAATGACGCTTCGTAAGATAAGGCTACATACAGTCATAGATAGTCCTGATAATAAGACCCGTGGTGCGCTGTACGGGCTTGTAATGAGACATTACAAATTGTGTTACGACACCTTATTACCAGTTATGGAGGGAGATTTTTGAAAGATATTAAATAATGATAATTATTACACACTACTTTTACTAGTTCGTAAAAAAGATTTCTTTAAAATGATAGAAGCGCAAAATGCAGTCTTGAACAAAATCAATACATTCACTAGGAAATACGCGACAATATTAATGCTTATGATTATGACGTGAGTTGTAAATTTTGTCTAGCTAATAGCGATGACCTAGCATACCTCACTTTTCGATTACAATGTGTAATCTCTGGTCCCATGATTCATAAATGTAATCGATCTTTCCACGATATGAAATCCAGTGGAATTTAGCAAATAATCAAAACGCTAAAGTAACAAAACGATATTGGACTTCGTTTTCATCAATACCAAAGCGTCAATCTGTTCGTCTAAGAAGATAATTATAACAACATGCACTAAAGGGAGACATTGCCGTTGCTACTTCAACCCCGGGTGAGGGGAAGACGCGCAAAATTGCGAGCTTACATCATACGACGCGAGAGCATGCTGAAACTACGATTCAAGGACGTCTTTTGACGTCACACTGCGCCTCCAATGTGGAAAGCGGCCGCCCCGGCCACCGTTCAACTACACCTAAGGCAAACAGCATGCAGCAAATACGATTCAGGGACACCCGTTTCGCCCCCGTACGGGGCGAAAGTCGTGTCCGATGCGACGACGGCGTGATGCATGCAGCGGACTCGTGACTTACTTCGGCTTCGTGTAGGGCGAAGACGGCGACGCCGCCTTGTGGCCGTGGTTCCGGTTCGGGTGCGTGTGTCGGTTCGCGTTCGTGTCCAGGCCGCCGCCCGGCGATATCTTGCCGGCGAGAGCGTTCAGCGAGTGCAGCATTGCGGGCGGCGGCCGCTTCGGGCCGGCTGTCCTGGTCACGGTGGAGACGCGGCCCCGTTTGCAGCGAGCGTGTGCGCGCACCGCGCCGTCGCCTTATCGGCTGATAAGAGGCGCTCGGGCGCACCCGCCCCGCGCCTCATCGCCACCTGACGCCGTCGCACGCACTCATGCACACACACAGAGATCGCGGGTGACTCCCGCGCCGCCCCCTCCCCCGCCCCCCCACACAATCACAGTGGCACAGCACAATCCCAGAGTCCTTAGAGGCTGGCCCGAGTCAGCGTCCTGTCCGCGCCATTCTCGTCCCGTGCGGTAGCACCGCCCGCCTAAGCTCTCGATCACCGTTCGAGTCTCGTGCAAGCAACTTTTCCTGGCACGCGATATTTCACTGTTGGACGTGTCCCGTGTACTTTACACACTGCGTATTTTCAACCGCGCACAGTGACGGCTTCGATTTCGCTCAATTGTGGTCAAGTCGATATGCGCTTTTTAGGGGTGGTACTATATAACGATCATGTTACACTTCACGTGTACGAATGTGAACTCCCTAAGAGAAACGTAATTTAGGTTCTAAATCGATTTGTTTACCAAAGTAGCCATCTCTTGTATGAACTCTTTGGTTCATAAAAAGATGGTTACACTGGTAAATACTAGTTCAACGCGGTCATTATTAACTATAGAGGAACTAAGTGAGTTTATGCAACTAATAGTAGAACAAAATAGACACTACCACGTTACTTTTATTTCGATTCAGGAGGCGCCAACCTGGAAGTGACTCAATCGACAAAAACACGCCTAACGTGCCAAATGGGTCAGCTAGCGCCTGTGTGAAAAGTACAGCAATGCTATACAGTTTGTCACATGATAATAATTTTAATGCAGGCGCGCATTGATAAATCAAAAACAAACTAAATTCACGACCGACTTTATGCCACAGAAATACGGTACCTTCTGGTTTACTATTTCCTTCTGATTATTGATATTTTATCACAAAGTTGTTGACTTGTCAAGCATTTTAAAAATATATAAAAGTTACATTCCAACCGAGTTTTATGTTTAGGTAATAAACATAAATGTTAAATTTTTGCTGGGATTTACGGTCAGTCACGCGGTTTGTAATAATAGGGAATTAACAGAGATAGCTTTAATTATCCACATTTCATCGAATAGGATTCGAAGTTATTGGTTTCAAGTCGCAACCAGAGATCTCAAAAATGCGACTTTTTAGTCACTGTTGTACATAATAATAATGAAATTCATTACTGCCTAATATTGTTTACAAGCAGGCAATAAGCCGTTGTTAGCCTCTCCAACTGTGTCTTTCCGTCCCCCAAATTTTCGCCATTACGAGAACTGCACAGTTAATACGTGGTATAGGTCGCTTGCCAAGCGTCGAGTACTCAGTGTCGTGCCAAAAACATCCGCGTTCTTATTTTGCACTTAAGATTTCATTAGTCGAACAAAAGCGAAAAACAGAGAAGCTGTTAAAAACGGATAAGTTTTGTAGAGGGGACGCGGATGCCAATCGATTAAAAATATACACAAAGAAATGTTTATAATTTACGAGCTTAAGTACTATATACTTTTCGTTTAGCCAGTGAACATGTGAAACTTTTATTTATGACGTTTGATGGTAACTAGCAATTAATTCCATTTAACATTAAACCGCAGTTCTCGGTAAGTTTATGACTTAAGGAGTCATTCCTTTTCACAGAATTTTGCAACCGACTTCAAAAAAACGAGGAGGTTTTCGGCTGTATTTCTTTTTAACGTTTGTTACATCATCAGCATTGTCTGTCTGTCTAGCTCCTCTCTATCTTTCAACGTCTCTCTCTACCCCTTTTAATTTCACCCTTAACTCTATGATCACTCACTTGAAGTATGTTTTTCTTATTATTTTAATTGCTACTTTCTTTTTACTATTATTATTTTTTTTTATTATTTTTTTAACAACAATTCCTTTTGGTAAATTTTTGCCTGGAAGAAATTGCTGTGTAGCAATAAGGCCGCCTTTTGATGACCAATATTTTGTTAAATATTTTGTTTTTTGTACTTTTTCAATTTGATTTTTTGGTGTACAATAATATAATAATAATATATAATTATTATTATTATTACATCAGAACTCCGTCGTTTATGGACCGATGTTAAAATTAATTTTGCATTGGGTTCGATTGATGTGAATGTACCTTGGATTAAAGAGATTCATCAGGGAACTCCCCAATATCAAATAGAAACATATAGGTGATTGAGAAATTTAAAGTCGGTTAGATTTTTGTCAGTTAAAAAGTTATTTAATATGTAAATATAATAAATTAAATGTAAATATAATAAAATAAAATAAGGTGACAGCTGTAAAAAAGGGTTGTGGTTGGATGACCACAGTCTATGCGATAGGATCCGTAAGCACAATTACCATATCATACCGTATTCAAAGGTTTTTGGCGAATGACAGTGATTTCTACATCATATACGATACACACTACTAAGTTGTAAGAAAGTACAGGACGTGTTGATGTATGTATGTTACAGAAACCGTTGAAAGTTTTCGTTTCTCCGTTTGTCTAGGAATTCACTGACGTCGTAAATAAGTCACGTAGTATTTGCTAAAAAATTAATTTGATAAATCATATATCTTATAAACATAGCCGTAACAAAGATCTATGTTTTTTCATAAGCAAGAGTGCCTATGTATCCGTATGTAATGTAATATACAAAGTAGACCGATGGCGGAAGACCGTTGCCTTTTTATTATGAAATGGCACGGGAATATTGTGCATGAAAGGAGCGTGGACTCGACTCTGTCGCAAATTATACGCGTTGACTATTGTATGTTGTAGGGTGTCCATAAATAATTGTCGCTTAGTTTTAAAGCAATTAGAAATGAACGCGACAGTACAGGACACAACGAAAAGATTTTTTCGACGAACTTTGATGGTTTTGGCTAATCCAATTACCTTTTCTCGAATACATTTTTAAGAGTTGTTAAGAGCCTTTACGAGGGAGGTCCCTCTTATATATGCATATTTATCTAACAATATACAAGTTATCATTTATGATGATACAATTTACATTTTGTTTGACACTCACAAATAGCAAATCGCAATTGCATACCTGAATAAGTAAGTTACCTAACGTGTTTAGTATGTAATTGGGATCATTTATTATTTCACTGTATGACGATGATATTTAATACAACGAATAGTCGCGTGGTCTACTATGCCTTAATACCCTTTGTGCAGAGAAAGCCTTGGCCCATCAGTGGGCCATACATAGACTGCTGCTTTACTTTGCTGTAGCTAATGTTATTATTGATTTATATGAAATCATCGCTTTGCACGTCGAGTTTTGGGCCGATTTTATAAATTTAGATTGGTGGTTAATCATGAAAACATTTTTACTTTTCATTTGTAACTAAGCGATGGCGGGACTCATCCGATGAAAAGCGTGGTTCCACCACGTTCGTATAAATCGAGGGAGGTTTTTTGCGGAAGCACGCGAAATCGACGACGTCACGAAGGGCGTGCAGCCCTTCTGAACATTTCTGATACTTAGCGTTGGGCCGGAGGGAGGGTGGAGTTTTAAAGAATATACCGCTTGATTGGCATATTTTCAATTCCGGGGTTTCGGAAATACATTTAGCGGACTGATTTTAATAAATGAAACGGGCTTCGTTAAAGTAACATTGAGATAAATGTAATAATTCGTCAAACATTGATTAGTTATTTGTTCAGATTTTTCGATTATAATAATAATATCGAATAAAATAATAATAATTTTCCTATATAACAAAAATGGCTTAACATAAATTGAGTCCGAAAAGTTTGCGTGCAAATGATAAAAATCAATAACTTCTGGGAAGATAAATATTTTCCATATTAGGGAATAAAGATATAGGTTCTAATAATCATTTTGATGACTACCGGTCTATACAATATACACAATGTAATATAACGAAATCAATACAGAGCTTCTAACAAAGCAAACGACGAGACGTAATTTATTTTTAAACAATCGCGGTACGTGGCTTATCTAGACACTGGCGAGGGAGACTTAAAGAGGCAACAAAGGAGGTTCTATTCAAATAAAAAATAGAAAAAATAATAAACATCTCCAGCTCCGCAGTAAATGCGGTCGCAGATAACGCACTGCGCCCCGCTGCCTGCAACTGCGGCCGCATCGAGGCAGATACGGTATCTGCGAGTCGCAAACTGCATTCGTCGTGCCGTGTAAGCGGGAGTTTCATTTAATTTCACGCGCCCCGCCTCACGGTACTAGCTAACAGTAGCTACTTTGGCCAATTCTAGTTCGGTTTTTCAGTCATCGCTTTTGGATACTTTATCTTCCCATAATCTCGTTAAGGAACGATTGTGTAAAGTCAGTTTGATTGCGACATTGCCATCAAAAAATTATGACCTGTTTTTGTCGCTTATCACGTTAAAATTTCCGCTCATTGCAGAGCAAGCAAAAACTATGTACTTAACTGATGTACTATTTAAGTACCATTCTTTTACCTGATGTAAAGTGGTAACCACACACGAGTAACAGGTGCCGCACACGAGTAATCAGTTGTCGGCCGAGATAAAACTTTAAGGGAGATCATTTTGCGTCTCAGACGATGTTTACTCATTATTATCAGGTGAGGCCTCTTAACCAATAACACTGATTGTTTTGGTGATAGACAAGCAAAGTGCTTCAAATAAATCTCCATCGTTCAAAGGGCAGCAAACTATATATTGTGCAATGAGTACACCCAAGACAGTATTTGTATTTATTATTAGTGTTAGTGTCAGCTGTTCAATGTCAATCTTTAATGTGTTAGGGTAACGCAATAGTCTTGGCTGTTGCACGACCACGACTTCACAGAATACCGGCATAAAGAGGAACTGTTATACTTTTTCGTTATTTCTTGTGGGTGAGGTAACCTAAGGCCCACTTTATTAAAAGGTGGCACGCATCTGCATTTATACGAATGCGTGTCGCTAATGTCCATGGGCAGTGGTTACCACTTTACGTCAGGTAAAAGAATGGTACTTAAATAGTACATCAGTTAAGTACATAGTTTTGTGATTGCTCTGCAATGAGCGGAAATTTTAACGTGATAAGCGACAAAAACAGGTCATAATTTTTCGATGGCAATGTCACAATCAAACTGACTTTACACAATCGTTCCTTAACGAGATTATGGGAAGATAAAGTATCCAAAAACGATGACTAAAAGACCGAACTAGAATTGGCCAAAATAGCTACTGTCAGAAAACTTTGCGAAAGCTTACCTCGACTGGTTGCCAACCAGAAACATGGAATTGATTCTATTCATTCATAGAATCAAAAAACCTGCCAAGTGCGAGTAGGACTCGCGCACGAAGGATTCCGTACTAACATTATCTATAAAAACGGCAAAAAATCACGTACTTTGTATGGGGGCCCCACTTAAATATTTTTTATTGCTTTTTAGTACTTTTTGTTATATCGGCAACAACAAAACATCATCTGTCAAAATTTCAACTGTCTAACTATCACGGTTCATCAGATAGAGTCTGGTGACAGACGGACAGACTGACAGCGTAGTCTTAATAGGGTCACGTTTTACTCTTTGGGTACGGTAACCCCTAAAATAAAACCTTCACCATTCACCTGCGATTCAAATCGCTGTTGAATGGTGAAGGTTTTATTTTAGTCACCACACATGGTATTTCACTGACAGGGTTGTGTTTCGAACGTTTTCCGATAAACTGGCGTTGCCGCACTATGGTCTGCAAAACGGGGCGCAATTACTCGACAAATTAGGAACACCCGCCGACCCTTTCCGACTCACGGGCGCACAAGCGTTGCCGTGGAAATCGTAATTTCCTTCGGGCAATGTTTTCCCGCCTTCGGCTTTACGCTTTCCCGCCAAAGTGCCCTGCTTCGGCGCTAATATGTTAACTCGATGGTTTGTACGGAGCGTGGAGCAAATTGCGGGCGAAAGGCAATCTGGACATAAATTTACTGTCGAATTAGTTAGAATCATTAAGTTGGGCTTAGAGTGGGACTTAAAGGGTGACTGCATGGCACATGTTTCGAAAACTTGAAATTTATACCAATAATTTAATTAAAAACAAACTACTACTGGATCTGAACCACACATTCAGAACAATGAACTACCTAGTAGATGAGTACACCTGATAAACCCCCTGACTTCAGCAAATTCCCTATATCCCTTGCGAAACAATACCAGAGTGCGAAACACCCTTGAAATAGATGCAAAAATATATTACAATTTATTAACTAATTGCTTATAACTAAAACCTGACTCCCAATACTATAATCAAAAAGAACTGACAGGATTGTAAATATATAAAAACAATAAGGAATATTTAAAATGAAAATTTATTTATTGTATCCCAATAGTATACTGACCTGTTCATAATAATGATATTAAAAAAAATGCGCCACTGTACTTATAACAAGTCCAACTTTATAGCTACTACTCCGCTGTTTTTGCGATTAGGAAGGTTAGGCAGCTAACAGACATCGACACTGCCAGACTTGTTTACTTTAGTTATATTCACAGCATGTTATCGTACGGCATTTTGTTGTGGGGTTGTGCATCTGACATAAATTCTATATTTATTTTTCAAAAAAGAGCTGTCCGAGCAATTTATAACATCGGAGCTCGGAATACACTTAGAGATCTTTTTAAAGAGATTAATATACTCACTGTTGCGTCCCATTATACGAATGCCATTATTTCCCATTATTTATTGTAATATTTTGTATGTTAGAAATAATCTCAATTGTTACCTAAAGAATAGTGATAGACATAAATTATTTCTAAGGACAAATTAATTACGCCATTGTTACGTCTACAAAAAGTAAATAGATTGTTCATGGGGCAAAGTGTGCGCATGTATAATAAAATCCGAATCCCACAGTCGATATTAAGTCTGCCACTATCTCAATTTAAACGCAAAATTAAAGGTGAACTTATGGCTAAGGCGTATTATACCATTGCGGAATATCTTGACGACGCCAATGTTGGGGTTAATACTGTTGATACTCGCGTAGGCTAAAGTAAGACTTATCCTATTATATTGTAAACTAATCGTTTTAAAAAAAGAGCAACTATTGAGTTTCTTGCCGGTTTCTTCTCAACAGAAACTGCTTTCCGAACCGGCGGTGGTAGCTTACTTAAGAACGCATTCATTTTTAAGTAAAATGTTGACGTTTCATAAGAACGCGCAAGTGTCTTTTTGAATAAATATATTTTTGATTTTGATTTTTGATTTTGATTTTTGATTTTTTGATCTACTACTGTCTAATCATCGGATATCTAATTGCACTCAAGGCTAAAATACCAAGTGTTAGTTTCCTATTATCAGGAGGTGTCTTATCTCCCAAAACGGGTAACATTCCTTACTCAGCACGGCAAGCGTATCCCACGTTTGACTCAGGATTTCGTATGTAAGCCCTATTTCTCCGCATAGCCATCCTAAATATGGGCTTTTGTCCGTGTTCCGCTTGTGTATGTGAAATGAATACAAAATCATAGAATATCCGTAAAGTATAAAAGTGATATTGTTTAAAACTTAAGTAAAACCACGGGCCACGCAACGGCACCTACCCATTCGTGCAACACGCAACTGTTGTACGAATGGGCAGGTCCGTTTGGAAGGTGGCAACGCATCTGCAAACCTACGAGTGTTACAAATGTTAATGGGCGGTGGTTAACACTTGAAATACGGCCAGCACGTTTGCCACCTTCTCACATGAAAAAAAAACTTATCCAAGCAATATGTCGAGAAAACTCATTTCTCAATATCACGCCTTTTATAATATCCGCTATACGAGACTCTTAAGAAAGACAATCTTTTATTATAATACTTCCGTGACATCGGGGCATCCCCCCTCAGGAAGTAACGGTTCACGCTTTGACTCGGCAGTCAATTAATTAGAGGCGAATTTGGATATTTGCTTTTAACATCGAAATGAATCCATGAGGAAGAGATTAATTGGGTTTATATATACTTGAGTTCGCAGTAGCGCGTTATGATTTAAAGCTGAAAGTTATTGATGAAATCCTATTACTTACCTCCAGACCCTAAAACGTACACGCCTATAATTGAAAAATCTTTTGGAATTTTCCTGACATAATTTCTACCTCTAAGTCCTTTGCATATTTCGTATTATACACGATGCAGTCAGTTTGAAGAAGAATTAGTGTTACATTTACATTAATAATTTTCGTGATTTTAATTCGTATATATATCCCAGTGTAGTATATGAAGTATGATCATAAGTAGTGTTATTAAAAATTAAGATGATATACGAAAGGTGACTACCCAAAAAGGCTGTTCGATAAGCGAGACTGCTAAGAATTTAGCTCACGCCGCCACAGCCAATGGATGGGATCGGGCAAATATCTGGCGTGGAGCGATGAAGGAATATTTTCCAAAATAACTCCGTCAAAAATATTCAATGTTCGGGCGCATTGTTTTCGATGTGCGGGGCGTAAATCGAATATTTATCGTCCGTTTTATTGCTTCGAGAACGGGAGACCGTAAAAATGACATTCACGCGCAGGTCCGTCCGATATATTAATATTTAATAAAGTACATTTCTATCTGTCTCGTGAATGTAAAAACTGTAAGGTATAACACTTTGGAAAGAGTAAAATTCTAAATTTAACTTTATAAAATACGAAAACTATGTATGCGTATCTACAAAATAAACTAAAGTATAAGGAAATTTATATTTCGTCGTTGTTTAATAAAGTTTTAACCTGTACTTGACTTTCAAACTCAGAAAACGTTTAAATTGAGAATATGAAACGAGGGTTTTGGAAAGATGGTACAAGTTCGACGAAAATAATAAATCTCTTAAGACCTAGCGTAACGAGATTTACCAGTTCATTTCAATGTGGAAAACCAAGAGCACACGGCAAGCGATGGAAAGTCTTTTGAAGATTATCATGAATCTGTGGCGCAGTTGTTGGATTCGATTCCCACATGGCTGACTTTAATTTTTTTTTAAATTATTATCTTATGAGCAACTATGCTCAAGATATTGCTATAGCAGTTGCAATTAACAACTGACTTGGTAAGCATTTCTTAATAATACATTTTTCTTAATACTTGGTTTCTTTTTAAATCCCTGTGGTGATGATTTAAAAAAGTTACTAATGGAGGGCGTTTTACGTTGCATAGCATACCGAGCGATTAAGTCACTGACATACTAACACAAAGACTATCTTAGCCTAAAGACATTGACAGCTTCCATTTATCAAATTGTATAAGGACCAAGAATCTTAACGGTTTTTTGCAACTTAATCTAATTAATGCTCTATAGAGAGGTAGATTAAGAAGTCCATAACAGCATGACCCAAACCTCAATTAATTTGAATTTATAATTGACGAGATGGAGACCTACAAATTTTGCACAGATCTATCCAATCACGGTAAATATGTTATTACATTAGTGAATACAAAAATCTTTATCATTAGTGAATACAAAAATTATTTTTGCCCAATAGAAAATCTAAAAATGGAATCTGGTGCACGCCATTGCATTTAAATCCACAATTTAAGATAACGAATCACCTCTCCAAGCCAGGGCAAATGTGTTTGGCTAAAATATAGACATATTTTAAATTTTCCTGCGTCATTAAAACTGTATGCCCTCTTTTGAATATCGAAACAAAAATATATATAGCCAACGTTTCTTTTTTAGGGTACCACATACCAGGCCGTATCACATGAACCGTGATAGTTAGACAGTTAAAATTTTTACAGATGGTGCCTATAACAAAACATACTAAAAAAATATTTAAGTGGGGTTCCCATACAATAAACGTGATTTTTTTGTCGCTTTTATAGATAATGGTATAGAACCGAGTGCGAGTACGACTCGCACTTGACCAGTTTTTTTTTAATTTCAGGGTGAATTTTATAATAATAACAAGTATAATAATAATAATTTATTTGTAAAAATATGGGTGTACAAGGCATGCAGGTGTTATGTTCTGATGAAGTTCTACATTTTTTTTTTACTCTAAGGAGTGTACATATGATATGCAGTCACTTAATGAGACCTATCAAATAAGCCGCTGAATAGATGGGTCAATGTCCCTAGCCCCTTTGTCCCACTGTCTGAGAAACTACCGCCTGGACATGAGTTGCCACGGCTAACTTGGAAGTCATTAAATAGTCTTCGGACGAAAGTTGGCCGAAGTAAATAGCCTGCAGCCGAAACCTGTTCAGGTGGAGATTCTCTGACGGTTCCAGCTTGGAGTGCAAATGTGGTGCTGTTCCCCAAACCATGGAACATTTGACGTCGTGACGGGTGTGCCCAAACAACTACACGCAGGAAGACCTGATAAATGCTGCTGAGAGTGCAATTCACGTGGTTGAATTTTGGGCCGATACCGTGTGAATAGGTATTGCCATTGACACGAAAAGCAGAAGAAGAATAGATGGGGCCCACTTATTGACTGATTAGAGCTTAAAAGTGGTAAAATAACATGAAACGTTAAAGTCAAAGTTTTGTTGTCTCTGAAATATTCCTTACAATATTACGTTGGGTTAGATAGATTTTTTTGTTCTATTAGAATTATGGTAACTTTTTCTCATCAAAAAGCGGCTGGTGCTATATTGTATTAATGGTAAATACACCAGCCGAGTAAAAGTCTGATTCATATTTATGCAGTAGTTTCAAATTATTTAATATAAAATATATAAAAAACAAACACACACAACACCCACGTCAATCACACACTTGGTGCTATTACCCAGAAGGACCTCAAATCTTTCTCACTATAACCTTTATGGCTTGTTGCGTAATAAATAGAATAGTGTCTGGGTTACCTAAATACACTCTGGAAATGTCAAAAGATTTTATTAATAACGGGGGCTTACCCAAGACTTACTGGGCCGTTTGTTGGGTAGCGAAAGGGTGTGGGATGCCTTTAAAGTTTCCGTTCTGAAGTCGAACCGTTCCCGAGGCAGGGATAGCAAAATTTCGCTCGGTGTTCGCACTTAATTAACTAATATTTACATTGGAGCGTAGAAACAATTTCGGCTTGCGCACCTGCCGGCCATACTGCGGCTTGGAATTTTGCCGAATCCAAAAACGCACTGTCTAGTTTTCTGGCTCAGAACGCGGCGGTGGATTATATTAGAATTTAAAAATGTTTTAAGGTTATGTTTTTGGTTTTGTTAAATACCGCATGTGTTACACACACATGCGGTATTTAACAAAAATACGTTAAAAATATGCTGTAAAACAAAAAAAAACATTAAACTTTTGGTAACAGGGTACACATAAAAGGTGCACTTTGGTCACTTTGCAAATATATAATTTACATATTGATTCTTAGTCAATTGAATAAAATGTATCTAATACTTGCTGAATTTGCTCGTTTTTGATACTGTGTTAAAACAAAAAATGTACCTTATGTGCCCAAATTCGAGTGATTTGTGCTGTGTCAGTTTTTACCAAATTTCGCTGCCGTATGTTTTCCCATCCAAGGCGCAGTGATACGATTTACCGATATGAGACCACACTGTCCCGTTGCACGAAGCGCACTTTAAAGTTTCAGCTTCTACAGCTACCGAGTATTACGTTAACCGTAGAATAATAACAACATAAATATATAGTTATTTCTACGACAAAATCGCAATACCTATAATTATTATTTTCCCAGTTCAGTTATAAATAGAAGGTAGGTCAAATATATAACCTGATGACTAAAAAACCAAATATGGAAGGAACGGTTTTTAAATTTTCAATCATTATTCTTTATTGTACACAAAAATCAACACAGTTACGAATGAATGATATAAAAAGGCACAGTCCTTTTTATATCAAAGGCGAGCTGAACCCTAAACAAAGTCAGAGGACTGGTAGAGACCAGCAAACCTTTAATAATCAATAATAATAGATGAATGATCATAGGAAAATAGGTAATTTAGTTTGTATTACAAAAAGAATTCCCGTTCTAAGCTCTTATCTTAAAAAGTTAAATAGACATACATTCAGTGAGTGAGTTATCGTAAGTCTTTTGAATTTAGATACAATCAAGACGGAATTGTTTTCGATGTAGTCGCACTCAGTCTGTTCTCATAAAAAGCAAGGACCATATCCTTACTAATATTATAAAGGCGAAAGTTTGTATGTATGGATGGATGTTTGTTACTCTTTCACAAAAAAAACTTCTGAATAGATTTTAATGAAACTTTACAAAAATATAGCTTATACATCAGAATAAGACATAGGCTATAATTTATATACATATTTTATGTATATCTGTCTTTCTGTCTGCATGTTACGCCTTCAGCCTATTCTACGCAGACGTAGTCGCGGGCAGCAGCTAGTACCATAAACAGACCGTGAAAATAAAAAAAAGCCCGCTTATTATAAGCCCATACCGGCGGATTAAAGTGTAAGCCCCCAAGGGCCCATCTATTAAGCAGCGCAAATGATGAAATTCGAACTCCAAAAAGTGGTCCGAATTTATCACACAGTTATCGTAAATGACCAGTAATTTTGAGCAATTGGTCAATACTTTGAAAATGACTACAGAAAATTAAAATTGTAAGGTCATCGGATGTTGTTTTATTATATATCAAAATATATAGGTAGACGTCATTTAGGTGCCAAATGTTAACAACTAAACTAATCGGGCAGTACATAAGAATGCAAACATGTTTCCCTCAATATCATCACGTATGAAGATGATGACGATGGACGCTTTAAACCTTATGTATTAGATGACGATCATCTAGTAAATAACGTTTAAAGTGAAAAAAAAAATACAACGGAAAATGCTACCACACGAAAGAGCACCGTTATACCGGTAACAATTCTCTTTTAAAACATAACCTCGACAGACATTATGTGCAGATTGCGAGAGACTCGACGGCTAAAAAGTTTTGACAATGTAGGGTTGTACTTTTTGAAGAAATAATTTTTTTGCACGTCATTTTCTTTCACTAATCTAAACCAATGAAAGAGGCCTGTTCTGAAATGACCGATTCACTCACATTGGCATAAGTTGTCCTTTCGAAGAAGTCAATGAAAATTATGCCAAATATGAAACGGAAAAACTCAAACGTATGCAGAAAGTAGGATCTTTACCACAGCTTGAATTCGTCCATACAAGAACAACAAAGTCTCATTCAAAGTTTATAAGGAATTTTTGAATAGCACTTAACAAATCATTAGGCGACAGACGAGAACATGTAAAATTATGCTTTGGAAAACATAGAAAAATGTCTCGAATTGACAGCCCTGTATCAGTCTCACAAATTGCTTGCGAGCCAAGGATTAACTTGCGACTCCGTGAAGGATTTGTCGACGCGTCCATTTTAATAAAGAATCCGGCGTCGTGTCGCGGTAATATACGACAAGGTAAGTTTACGAACTGTTCGACTGAAACGAAACGACGGGAATGGCGAGCTCACATCAATGTTAATGTTCCCGAGTTCATTCTCGGCAATTGGCACTACTTAGTTCAACAGGAAGCAGGAAAAAACACGAAAATAAATCCTCTACAACTAGCGCAATTCGGAAATTTATTTGTCTTGAAGGAAAAGGAGAAACGCTTTAATACGATTCGTGCTAAAAGATTTTACTGTTAATGAGGAAAGAAAGTAATAGTTGAAAATTTATTTTTAAGCTATATTTGGTGTGTTCCTAATAAAAACAATTTTGTTCTATGAGGTGGTCTGCAATCCAGCTGTTTAATTTTATTTAATAATTTAGATACATCAAAGAGTAATTCAATATATATGACGATAAAATGTAATGCATATAATCATTTATTGTAGCGATAAAGTGACGTAGGAGGTACAAACCTCACTAATAATTGTAGATACATACATTATTTCGTGGAAATATACGATTTATAGATTTATCCGAAATAATGTCTGATTTTTGAGAGAAACTAATATTTATTGTGGCTTCTAGGTTGATCATAATAAAATTGGCGATCATTTTTAAGTTTAAATATTGCTACTGTTTCAAATGATTCACGCTTATCGACAAGTTGGAACGATTTCGCATTCAAAACGTCGCATTAAGGTGAGCAGTAGTTTGGTCACAGGTTATTGCGGGTACGGTCCACAAATATGGACCGCGAGTCACAGGAATAGTCTTCGCGCAGCCAGACGAGCGGAGCGAATCTTATTAAAAGTTGTCGTCGCGCCACTGCCGTTTGTTTAACTTTGTCCCCATAGCCGGGCCGATTCGGGGGCGGAATTGTCCAGGGAATCTGCAGAAGGATCGTGCGGCACCAACTTAAAGTGGAATGCGGCCCGCCGAGTCGGACTTTATGCTCGAATTTATATTGTACGAGTTTCAATAACTTCGCGCCGGTTGCCAGCGACCCGAGCGTCGCCTGCGCGCTGGAACGATGCACTATCCTAAAGTACCTACCCGTGTTTTTGGAGCCCGCCCCGGCGTCGCTGCCGTTTTAGAATTTATCGCTTCTATTTTGGTCACCGGCCAGTTGTTATCGCTACGCGCCATTCTCAATGTATTGCCAATGTTTCGAAGTTCAGCTGTTTAGCAGAATTCAAAAATGAAAGGAAATTTGAAATTTTCTCTTAATAACAAGCATACATTGAATTCAAAAACAGTCAACCACTTAGAGAACACTTCATTCGTGCCCAGACGGATGTATCCAGTTCCAGACTCCTTCCGGAAATAGAGTGAGAGCAAAGTGAATGGTATCGAGCTCGAGTAATCTTTCCATTCCCAGAGTTCTGCATTCTATGAAGCCTCAATTAAATACTTACTGTAAGCGAAAAGATCTGTGAATAAAGATTCATTTCTCAAAAATTAAAAATCTAAACGTAAATCTGTGGGATTTACGTTTAGATTTTTATTGCTCATGGGTTTTGAATACACTTTCAACTGGATCCTTCTTTTGTTTATCAATCTATATTTTCAAAGTATCTTTAAATCTACATTCAGTTTATTGTGATTGACAAAAAAAGAACAATGAAGATCCCGAGCGCAATTTTATAGAGAAATTTATTTGAAACGCATTCAAAGTTCAAATACACGCCTACGCAGTTACGCCTTGACGCTTGCACTGTGTCTAACGCTAAATTACAGCCGGCCGGCGAATAGCTAATATCGTAATGAAACGAGGCCACTGAAGCGAGGCGCGCACCGTTGGAAAATTGATAAAGTTTCCACGAAAATTCACTACTGGGCCAACATTCGGTGGCCAACATAGGGGGAGTACCGAAGCTGGCGATCAATTTAAACGTCGGGTGGTGTTCCCAGGGGCTTATATTCAATGCACCTAGTTCCACCGAAGTTTTCGAATAATTTGAACGTAGTGTGGCGAGGCGATCTCCGTGTCCGAGACGCGACGTGTGTTACTGATGACTTTAATAACGTCGGGAGAAACAAAAAATAAGTTGGAAAGTTTCTCGTTATACGCCCGTGAGACGTTTAAGGAAACCAGAAATGTAATGTGCATGCAACCATAATTCTTCTTCTTTTTTAAAGAAATTCCAACCTTTGGTGTATACAAAACGAGATGGATAGGCCTCGTGAACACGAAACGCTTGACTTGTAACACGCTTGATAGTAAATGGGGTTGAAGAAGGATTACGCTATACATTCGTAGACAGTAAATATGACAGATGTTTAAGGCCATTAGTATTCGTATTTCACCTTGAAGACACCCATGCCGTATTTGAAAAGGAATTATTTGGTACACAAGCCTATTCCTACTTTATTGGAAGCTCCTGCAGCAGGTTGACGTGAAGTATAATTATTTATAATTTTGCATTTGGTCAACACCGTAGCTTTTGAGAATCCATGGCGGCATACCTCGCTGACAAACCACTACTATCTGTTATTATCTCTTGAAAATTAAGTAAAAATTAATCATAATTATTTTCCAACCTTAAGTAACTGTGTAATTATATATATATATATATATATATATATATATATACAGTTTCATCGTCCATAGTATGTCATGTTGTTACATTATATAACTTCATTTCGTTATTTCTATTCAATTACGTTGCATTTTAAACGTAGTAGTTTGTTCCGCCACTAGACGGATGTCGGATGCACTCTTGCACTGAAAATTAATAGAGAAAAAATTCCAACATCCATGCCCGAGAGCTTAAACACTCGACGAACTTCTTCCGCTGAAATCGCATTTCCACTTTTTTATTTAAACTAATTAATCGGGCAAATTTAAATAAACTCGCGACGCGCGCTGTAAAAGACTGGCAAAGGAGATGCGCAGCGATAAGTCGTTTTTTTCCGGTCAAATGAATGGAGGTTTAATTAAAGAGTCGTTAATTAAGGTGGCTAAAGGATGCCTCGCAGTTTTAAGCTTTTTCAATATGTATCCTCCTTTTTTTCCACCCTCTCCCTCCCACTCGTTAGGTTCGTTGAGATTCCGTGAAACGAATGCCAGAGTTTAATTTGTTAATTTGAAAAAGGAAGAGAGAAAAAAAAACCTAGTGTTACGGTTACGAGTGTAGCCGGCGAGTGTTCATTTGATTATCACATTTAATTGTAAAGTAGTTTTCGCTTGGAGTAAATTACGTCGCTTAAATTGAGAGCACGGAAGAGAATTGCAATGGATTCTTTCGGTGCCGTATAAATATTAAAATACATAAACATTAACAAAAAAAAAGAGCTCTATAAAGGTAAGTTTATCTTCTCACGTTTTAATCCATATAGAAGATTATATTTTGTGTTGACAATTGTTATTTGTAGGTTTTTGGACTAGGAATTTGAGATTTTATGAACTATAGCAAGTGATAGAGCTATGAAGAGCTATGAGCTCAGTGTTCGGGTGCTCGCTTTTAATTCAATATACTCAAGCAACGTGAGTTTAAATCCTATCGTCATCAACATCGTGCGGAAACCTGCATATTTTCTAAATAATAACAATAAAAATATTTAGAAAAACATAGGGTATTACTTTTATAAACTATTCGTATAGCCAAAAACTGTTAAGTAGCAGTAGTATTTTTTTTTTGCTTTTTGGATAAACACATCGACTACGCTAGATTTAATAAGCATCCGTCTAAATGTACAGTTGCAAGTCGTTGCTGGCTGTCGGATATTGCCCGTTCTATAGTTCTACGAATTGCCCCAATGCCGTCAGGCTGTCGAACGGAATTGCTCATAGCCGAACGATGACAGTCGCACGAGATAGCATGAGTTACGGTGGCCGTATGACGCGGGGCTTTTGTCTTACACCGCAAAAAGTAATTAGCGAACGCAAGCAGCTACGCTGACCTGGAAACGGTGGACCTCGTTAGTATAACCGTGGTATTAATTGCCGCCTGTACGGAAGGGGTGGGATAGGGGGGGGGGGGGGAGTTCTCCGACACCTCCGGCGATGGCGGGAGGACATTGTAAAGGGCCCCGGTCTACTACTCGACTCAGTGCTGGCGACGCAAAAACTAAAGCTCGCACGGCACTATGGTAATTTATGACTTGCTTCGCAACGAGATATAGAGCTGCCATTGTATTTGTGTTTCACGGGGTGCCCTATAGATATGGAGCTGCCATTGTATTTGTGCTTCACCGGAAGAGTATAGTAGTAGAGATATAGATTGTGCAATATGAAAATTGATATACAAGTAGAATCTGATGTGTGCGAAGATGTGACTATTTACTGTTTGTAGGGTGTTTGTCGTGTAGGGTCACACAATTTGCTGTTGTAGAGAGATTCCCTCAATTAATAAATCTCAAATGCTTCTTGGATGGTAATGCCCACAATTTTATATAATAATATTCTAATGCTTTCTTTGAATCGGCTTTGAGCTTGGTTAAAAAAACAATCCTTTATTCTCGTGATATATGCGGTCGGAAACATTTTTGAAACTCTCATGTGTATCCTGGGAGATTAAGGAGGAACTTTTTAAAATTTATTTTCGGTCAATATTGTCAAGGCAAGAATTAACTTGATTTTAATGAGTTTAACTATTATATTAGAACATTTATTAGTGACAGTTCATTCTTTAAACGCCCTCTATTTATCAAGTACCAGCCAGTTCGTAATGAAATAAATAAAATCCCTCTGGAAAGAAAAGGCGTCATTTCCAGTCGTGGAAATTTGGAAGATGGGAGGGCGAATAAATGGCCGAGAGTTCTGAACCAACGATAAATGACATGAATTACCGGTAAGTTGTGAATGAGGACCTCTGGTCGTATAGTGAAGCAACTTCCTGCACTTCAATAACTTCCTAATAACATATGCTCTGCTGTGAATAGTAAAATTAGTTTTAAACATATATTTTGCTTTAAAATATGTAGAAAAATATGTATATTGTTGTGTGAAAAATATGTGTTATTTAAAATATGTATATTTTGCTACTAGCAGATACTCGTGGTTTGAATTACTTCTATACTCTTGCGTAGCTTATGATATTAACAATGTATTTTATGTTATAACTAGCTACTGCCCGCGACTACGTCTGCGTAGAATAGGCTGAAGGCGTATCATTCAGACAGAATGACCGATATACATAAAATATGTACATATAAATTATAACCTATGTCTTATTCTGATGTATGAGCAATATTAATGTAAAGTTTCATTAAAATCCATTCATTTTTGTATTTGCGTGAAAGACGTATACAAACTTTCGCCTTTATAATATTAGTAAGGAGTAAGGTTAGGACCAAAATACTTAATTGTGACATCAATTATTAAAGACACTATAATATGAAGACTCAGATGTCAAAATAATTTCACGACATTTTTTTACACAACGTTATCTATACCCAAACTAAGCAAAGAAGCTATGGATTTTTTTACTATGTATTTTAAGTAAATGATGAATTAGTATGTTCTAAAGCACACTATGCTTCTGTAAATAAATACATATTATAATAAATAAATAAATAAATATATAAACACCCAGTCACTAGAAAAATACTATGTCCATCATAGAGTATTCTTCCAGTAGTGGCGATTGAACCCACCTCCGTAGCCGATCAATCCACTATCGATGTAATAAATAGTTACAGTATGTTGAGTATCATCATATTACAGTATGCAATATACGTACACAAATATGACTCATAGTAATCTCGAGAAACACACCTTAGTACGTGGGAACAATAAAAAAGTAAACGCTGTTAAGCAAACGAATAATTTACTATGAAAAAAAAAAAACTACCAAAAGAAAAATGTCCAGTTGAAAGCGTATCGAATTTCGAAAACAATTTCCATCACAAATCGAATCGTACGAATGAAACTCGCTTGTGACTCAAAATAATCCACTCCGAAAGTATTAAGTACTTATATCAAAGGTAACACTTATCTGCCTTCCCCGGCAACTGTTTACATTACCCGGGGCGACCGGCCCGAAAATACGGCCCAAGGAAAATAAGTTGTTTTTTTTTCTCTCCCAACATTATGTAGATGTGTCCCCCCGAATTACTTTTTTAAGCAATAAACGGTCCGGAGTCCTACGTTAAAATCTTCCCGCGAGGAATTCGGAAACGTAATAACGGCTGGCCCAGTACAT